CACTCGACACTCAGACACTCGACACTCGACACTCGACACTTAGACACTAGACACTCAGACACCCAGACACTAGACACTCAAACACTAGACACTCGGATACAAGACACTCAGACACTAGACTCTCAGACATTTGACACTCAGACACCCAGACACTAGACACTCTGACACTAGACACTCGATACTCGACACTCAGACACTAGACACTAGACACTCGACACTAGACACTCGACACTCGACACTAAACACTAAACACTCGACACTCGACACTCGACACTTAGACACTAGACACTCAGACACCCAGACACTAGACATTCAGACACTAGACACTCGGATACAAGACACTCAGACACTAGACTCTCAGACACTTGACACTCAGACACCCAGACGTTAGACACTCAGACACTAGACACTCGACACTCGACACTCGACACTTGACACTCGACACTCGACACTCGACACTCGACACTCAGACACTCGACACTCAGACACCCAGATACTAGACACTCTGATACTCGACACTCAGACACTAAACACCAGACACTAGACACTCAGACACTCGACACTCGACGACACTCGATACTCGACACTCGACACTCGACACTCAGACACTAAACACTAGACACTAGACACTCGACACTCAGATGCTAAACACTAGACACTAGACACTCCGACACTCGGATACAAGACACTCAGACACTAGACTCTCAGACACTTGACACTCAGACACCCAGACACTAGACACTCAGACACTAGACACTCGAAACTCGACACTCGACACTTGACACTTGACACTCAACACTGGACACTCGACACTCGACACTCGACACTCAGACACTCGACACTAGACACTCAGACACTCAGACACTAGACACTCAGACACTAGACACTCAGACACTAGACACTCAGACACTAGACACTAGACACTAGACACTCGACACTCGACACTCGACAGTCGACACTCGTCACTCGACACTCAGACACTAAACACTAGACACTAGACACTCAGACACTCGACACTCAGACACTAGACACTCGACACTCGACACTCGACACTCAGATACTAAACACTAGACACTAGACACTCAGACACTAGACACTCGGATACAAGACACTCAGACACTAGACTCTCAGACACTTGACACTCAGACACCTTTTTGGCCTCAGTTCCGTCGAACCCAAATGTACGAAACAGATATATCATCAGTTTTAATTGACTTTGGCACAGACGGCATGCACGTTATTTACCCTAAAGCCATACAGTTTCCAGCAAAATGCAATTATGGTACGGCTGAAAAAAGGATGTTGCCCTTAGTTTTGTCATGAGCATTCACCGTACATAAAATGCAGGGCAGCACCGTCGACCATGCAGTAGTATATTTGGGCTCAAAATGGTTTGGGGAAGGACAAGCATACGTGGCTCTAAGTCGAGTCAAGTCTCTGGAAGGGCTATGTATTGAGGAATTAGATTGTACTAAATTATCAGGTAAGAAACCATGTAATAATGATGCACTGAATGAATTAAATAAAATGAGGAATATTCGGTAAACAATTTCACTAAATACTAAAAACAAAAAAATAAAAATCGGTAAAAAAACTTTTAAGTTAAACGGTTTTATTTTATGTGCACTGAAAACTACAAAATAAATAAATAGTTACTTACCTATCAACCTACGTAGGTGATCTCGGTCATTAATATCTCTGATGGTAGTGGTTGTCATAACATGAACCATGTCAGCGGCCGAAAGGCAGTTCATGAGAGAACACTAACACCAGGGTTTGCTTGGTAGGTAAACTAAGCAGCCCGCACTATAACAAGTAGGTATTTTGACCTTCTAGTTCAGAAATATTTTAGTACTAGGCAGAATAGCTTTTAGGCATATTAGACTAAAATAAAAACGTGGGGCCCCTCTGAAATCATACCTATAGCAGAGCATATCTTATACTTTGATAGATCATGAGCTCGGCGTTCGCTGGTGAAGCCGTAACGGCTGGTTATTGATGGTCAAAACCTCCAGTTACGATTATAGTAAGTCGATTCAGCGGACTCTGGACTCCGGAGCTATGAGGTTTCGGATGCGACCGGGATAAACCGCTAGGATGATGATGATGACGATTATAATAAGTCGATGCAATCCACACTTAGTATAGTAGAAAGTAATACAGAAATAGTTAATGGGCCCCACGTTTTTATTTTAGTCTAATATGCCTAAAAGCTATTCTGCCTAGTACTAAAATATTTCTGAACTAGAAGGTCAAAATACCTACTTGTTATAGTGCGGGCTGCTTAGTTTACCTACCAAGCAAACCCTGGTGTTAGTGTTCTCTCATGAACTGCCTTTCGGCCGCTGACATGGTTCATGTTATGACAACCACTACCATCAGAGATATTAATGACCGAGATCACCTACGTAGGTTGATAGGTAAGTAACTATTTATTTATTTTGTAGTTTTCAGTGCACATAAAATAAAACCGTTTAACTTAAAAGTTTTTTTACCGATTTTTATTGATTAAATAATATATCAAGATACATTTTATACGTAAAAATATAGAACACTGATAAAAAAAAACGACTCAACTAATTTGATAATTAGCTGATAAAAAGTTAACCAGTTTTTGAGACTCGACGCTCTATCTACTATATAGTCTAAATATTCTATCTTGGTGACGTAGCAATGAATGTTATTGTGTGTGAAAAAAAAACCACAAATATTAAGAGAGAAAATATATTTTAGATTGTCAACGATGAAATAGAAGGAGTAACTACAATAAATATAACACGTTATTGCCACAAAGTGATCCACAATAGTACAGGCGTACGCCTTGGTCGGTAGGGAGACCGTGCTCGCTACACATTCTGATGCTTACCCAAACCTACTGGACAAACTTCGTGAAGTTAAGGATAAAGTGCAAACGCCAATACTCCTGAGGACATACATAACGCCTTAATAGACGTTCTTCTATATAAATGTAAATGTGTGTACGAAATGTACCAAAGTTTTGATAAATTTTCTTTTTAAATGATAAAAAACCTAATAAGTTTTATCAGCAGTAAGTCGAGATTGTTTATTGACAATAACAAAATATACTTCATTCGAATTCAAATCATGCTTTATTCAAGTAGACTTGTTTACAAGCACTTTTAAATAGTCATTTTTTTAAAGTCTACTGCAGCGTTCGGAAAGTTATTATCTGTTGAGAAGAGCCCGTGAGAAACTCAACAGTTGATCTTTTAAGTCTTTTTTTATACAACTTAGAATGGCAAACAAGCTGACACTCCACCTGATGGAAAGTGGTAACCGCCGCCTATACACATGAGCAGTACCATAGACATCACAGAGTATACTGTTTCGCCCATGATACCCCCCATGCGTTGCCATTCCTGAGGACTTAGATAAGATCAGATCAGTCTCTGTTAACATTATGTGTATTTATTTAAATGTACCATGTCTAAAATTACAAGGTCATTAAAAGCCCGTGCATGATCGACTAACACCATGCACACTTGTCATTTTTCGTTCCACTTTTAAATTTCGTCTTTTAAATGTGGAATGCCATAGAAATTCTTTGAAAATAGAAGAATAGGAAATAGCAATAGGACGACGTTATAGAACATGTGAACAAATAAAATATGTACCATCTTATTCGAGACGTACAACAGTGGAATAGCTGTTTGATTTGAACGGGTAATGTAAAAATTATGTTTTTGACATTGTAAATAAGTTTAAAGATTTCGCCGTGTAAGTTCCGGCATAGAATAGGCCAACTCTTCCTTTCCCGTGTGTATCGCAAGAAGCGACTGAGAGAGCTTATGGTGAAGGGATGGACAGCAGCGTCTCTTTTAAAACATCGTCAAAAGCCAAACTGTGGTTGCCGAACGTGGCAACTACTGGCAAAACTCCCTTATAGAGGAGGCCGTGTTCACCAGTGGACCAATTGTTGTCTGTCAGTTTTGCAGAAATGTTCGTTGCAATACAGGGATTGTTTAAAAGAAAAATGAAAAGTAGAAAAAAGCCCATACAAATAGGTATAATTTGTATGGGAATCGCTACTTCGGATTACTTATACCGCTGTAAATAGTTCTTTATATTGTGACGACACGAAGCTTACCAGGCCATCTAGTAAAAAGTAATTTAGTTAACAAAATATTATATGAATCTTTGGTTTTAAATAGTCCAATAAATGTGGATAAACATCAGAATCGTTTTAATACTAATTAAAGACTTAATAGAAAGAAGAACAAGACCATAAGAGAATAGTATTATATGGAACAATAATATTAAATATGTAGCACATTTCATATTTTGTTTATAAAGGTTTATATATCTATTTGTTATTTGAATGAAATTTCACACAAGTTAAATATTGTATTTAAACTGTATTTTTATATAGGGTAAAAATATTAGCATCCAGCGAAAGGAGTATTCATCCAATAAACTGAACATTTATAACATTTTTAAATTGATCGCTCGACGCACGGTAGCGTCATCATCTTCATGTCATTACCCTAATCATTTGGTTGAGGAAAAAGAAGTAGGATACCGGAAGTGAGTAAAAGAAGCTGATAAAAGAGGAACAAAAGATTTATGAAGAAAAGAGAAAGGTACCCATGCACTCTAATACCGGACAGATTACTAGAAGACCCCCGGCACAACACCAGTGTTGTGTACAATTTAGAATCGCAAACAAGCTGACGGTCCACCTGATCGTAAGTGGTAACCGTCGCCTATACGAAATGGACAGAGGTACCCAAGCAATCGACTTTCTTTTGTCACTTTTTCAAAAAGCAAACGGTTTCAGTTTCATAACATGGTTCAATTTCACAACAAAAATGGTCCCGGCATAGTAAAAGCCACCTCTACCTTTCCCGTAGGTGTCGTAAGAGGCGACTAAGGGAGAACGAGAGATGGGAAGCAGTGTTCCTCTTAAAACATCTCTAAAACTTAACTGCGGTTGCTAATCCACATGCCAAGCGTGGCGACTATTGGCAAAACCCCAAGAGGAAGGCTTATGTTCAGCAGTGGATAGTTAAAGTCTGATATAATGATGATGGTGATATATTTTGTATTGAACGAAATATATAATGATAAATAATTTAATATACGTGTTTCAACGCATGTGAAATATCAATCTTATGTTCAGGTGCAGATATGTTTCTTTTTTTATATATATATATTTTAAAAATATTGTGCTGTTTTTTAAAATATTTGCATTCTCCAACATGTGTAGATAGCACTTTTAAATTGGCCTCTTTAAGTTGTACTTATTCTACATTAGATTTATCAAAGTGTCTTAAAACTAATCGATAGATTTTGAAGGAAGCAACAATTGAAGTTTACTCTAAAGGAGAGAAATGTCTAGATTATAAGATCTAGTCAGTGTACACTATACAGGAAAAAAGCTAAAGGAATTAATTGGAATTTAATAAATTTTTTCTTATGCTAATTTATTTATCAATTTTGATTTATATTCATTTAAAAATAATTCAGAATTTAACACTTGTAACACAGAATCAAACGTAAATATAATTTTTGTAGCTTTTTTGTAATTCTTTTTTTGATATACTGTACAATGACTAGGTCCGACATGAAACATCTGCTTCGCATCTTAAGCATGCATGCGCATATCATTCTAGGTTCCCTGTCACATGAAATGTATTTAGAAGTATTAAAGCTACGAAGCAATCGAAAGATCCAATTGACGGTGACAAGGTCCTAGCGTCTCTAAAGATTGTTCAAATAAGTACATGAAAAATTCTTAATACTGAAGTATTGCTTATCGTTTTCTCAGATACGTGTACATTCATTGAAATAAGTAATTCCTTATAACAACTACTATTAAATAATAATACTATTATAATTATGCCACAATTTTCAATGGATCTTGTCAAAGATTATCGTCATATACAGTACCACGTTCATTACCACTGTTGTAATACCTAGACCACATAATAATATTATATTTGTGGTAATTTAGTAAAGCATTTGGATTTTTAAATCGATTCGTACTTACTTATTTAATTTAATTTATAATTGTTTATTATAATATTCAAGACTCGTTCGAAATTTGTATATATAGACGACACCAATGTAATTGAACGTGCTCGTCTCTGATAATATGCAGAATGTATGTGAATACGATGTAAAATAATGAAAATCGAATATTACATTTTATCCCTTGGAATTGTTCACGTGAATTGTCTTTAAATTTTGTTAATGATGTGCATTTTGCATTTATTTTAAATGATTTTAAATAAATAAATAAATGCACCTAGGTTTTCGAAACAATAACTTAATAGAAATTTTTGAAAATAAACGATTTCGAATTTAATAAAAAGTTAAAATATGACGCATAACGCAGCTTATTGGCAAGTTAGTTAAAAATCAAAATTGAAAGATCGCGTAAGTGTCTTCTGCCACATAATTGGTGTTCTCACGATGACGTGTGAACGACCTCTGCGTGATGGATGATGTCGATTGTTGTTAATGAATAAATAGCCCAACTGTAGTTCAACAGCTTGAAGAAAACGCCTAATTATACGGGTGAGTAATAAAACATTTTGTGGCATATTTGCAGCTTATGCTTTAACAAATTGTTAATGCATTCCCTTCTGTTTGTTTTCAATGTCACATACATTCAGCACACTGATTTCCTTAAAAGTAATTATTTCTTAAAGTCATTGAAAGGCATTATGTACTCGTAGTATAAAGTAGCTCACATAAAGCACTGAAGTTGAAATCTCTTTCTTAAATACACGCAATTAAGTAGAATTCCCCTTGCAGGTTGTACCTTGATATTGAATTTTCGTACTTATCTACTAGACAATAAGGTTAGGTTTTCACCGCGGCTGTTGTGGAGAGGACATGCGGCGGACTCGCCGTTTAGCCTTACGCGATGCTGTTTCTTCTGTTACCTGGAGTTTTTATGTAAAATAATACATATTATTGATTGGAAATGAAATGAAATGAAATGAAATGAAATGAAATGAAATGAAAGGAAATTTATTTGCTAGAAACATTGTAGAAAAGGTGTTGCATTTGTGAAGTTTATAAGATGTCCATTATGTTTCGCCACATCAAATGGCATGCAAATATTAATTATTGGATTTATCCATTGGCCATTTTATACAGGTGCATTATATATTTAATTTTCAATTACATATACAATAAATCACTACACACCACTTTTACAGCGTAACTAATACATATATATTAAATAAACATAGTAAAAAGCGGGTTATAGGGGTAGTAGCATGTTTAAGATTAATTTCCAGGGGGCTAAATCCCTTAAAAAAGACACTCTATTCTTAGTCTTTGCCTATAGCTAAAAATTTTATTTCTGATTCTGGAGTGGGCACCAGACAATTCTGAGATGCGCAGAAACCGCTGAGATCAGAGACGAAGTGAAAGGATTGTCAGTAATGGGGTCTAACAGCGCCATTGCTAGCAATATACCTATTAGGTCGACTTCCATGCGGTTCCCCCTGGATCCTATCGTGGTTAATTCTTAAATTAGTCACTATGGGCTAACTTACCTATCATTTCTCACTAATGCTATATGTAGCCTATGAACACCTGCAATACCAGAGGTATCACGCGTGTGTTGCCGACCCTGAACTAACCTCTTTACCCTCCTTTTGAAGAACCCCATACTGTAGTCTCTTGGGAAAACCTCGGCAGGGAGCTCATTCTCATGAGAGGAAACCTCTCTGAAACCGCGTAGCACGCGACCATTGAGGCTGTAGGACATGAGGAACTCCCTGTCGATAGCGGGCCGTACGATGGTAGAAAGTGGTAGAAGATAGTAGAAATAAATCCAAGTGATGCATCTAAACCTAGTCTCAGCCACGTTGGATTCTAATACCTTCAGCAAAATATAAACATTTTGAGCGTTAAGTTCACCATAATGGCAACACTGGGTAAATCTCTCTAAGGTATTATATTCATGGTGATGTAGGTAATTTTTTTTTTTTATATTACAATAATAAGACTCACATTAACTGTAGCCGTTGCTCTCGCCGGGACTGGCGGCGGTTGCGAAGCTCGCCTCTGCTTCCCGGTCTCCTTTAAAACTTGTACAGGAGGAGAGATAGGAGGAGAGGTAACTGGCAGAGGGGGAGGAGGACCCGCCGGCGGCGAGTCGCAGTTATCAGCCGCTGTGGAGCAGGACGCATGCGCCGAGTCCGACCTGAAAAGTTTTTTCCAAAACTTTTTAACTTTTTTAAAAGACTTTGAAAACGGAACAGGATCTCAATTCGTCTGTACGTTTGAAGTATATACGATTATATCGTTAGTTGGACCTATACGATTTGCCGTATGCAAAAACTACAAGTTACTCAGCGGACTACGGAGAGGGCTATGTTCGGAGTCTCCTTGCGTGATAGAATCCGAAATGACGATATCCGCAAAAGAACCAAAGTGACCGACACAGCCCGAAGGATAAGCAAGCTGAAGTATCAATGGGCTGGTCAAGCTGACGGCCCACCTGATATATAGGATATATTGCTAGCAATGGGATCAGGGAGCGTTACTAACAATCCTCCCCCCCCCCCAAATATCTCTGTTAGGAGCTAGTCACCTATTGTATGCGCCGGAGGAGTGCTCGGGCGCGGGCGCGGATCACAACACGGTGTCGAGCGTGTCGAGGGAGCTCAGCAGGGCGGGGTCGCGGCTGCACCAGCTGGCCAGCTCGTCGGGGGTCACCACGCCGTCCGCGTTCGTGTCTATAAGCTGGAGCACAACACAGAGGAAAGAATTATATTATTGTATGTTTGAAATGAATAAAGTTAAACTACTAGCCAAACTGTTTTTAATTACTCCTCTCCATCCAAAGGTTGCCTGCAAGAGATCGCTCTTAGCGATAAGGCCGCTCATTGTTGTCTCACTGTGATTATTTCTTGTAATTGTTTGTATCTATAATAAGTTTACTATTGTAATCTTATGGAGGGAACAATAAAGAGTAGCTGTCTATCTACTGGATCAATTTAAAAAATCTTTCGATGTTAGAATGCTACATTATCCCTGAGTAACATAGGCTAGTAAGAAGTACAGGATGAAAGTTTGTATGGAAGCGAACGAAGCCGGGGGCCAAAGCTATTGTTGCTTATTTTCGAACCTGCACTAATATGTAAGTCCGCATTATGTTTTCGACACAAAGTAAATTTTTATAAAATAAAAGAAATGAAGCGATAAACTCAAAAATATATAACCAAATTTTAAATTCTTTCAAATCTATAGAAACTACGCTGTCATCGAATGATATGAATTGTATTTAATTTAAAAAAATAAAAATCGGTAAAAAAAACTTTTAAGTTAAACGGTTTTATTTTATGTGCACTGAAAACTACAAAATAAATAAATAGTTACTTACCTATCAACCTACGTAGGTGATCTCGGTCATTAATATCTCTGATGGTAGTGGTTGTCATAACATGAACCATGTCAGCGGCCGAAAGGCAGTTCATGAGAGAACACTAACACCAGGGTTTGCTTGGTAGGTAAACTAAGCAGCCCGCACTATAACAAGTAGGTATTTTGACCTTCTAGTTCAGAAATATTTTAGTACTAGGCAGAATAGCTTTTAGGCATATTAGACTAAAATAAAAACGTGGGGCCCATTAACTATTTCTGTATTACTTTCTACTATACTAAGTGTGGATTGCATCGACTTATTATAATCGTCATCATCATCATCCTAGCGGTTTATCCCGGTCGCATCCGAAACCTCATAGCTCCGGAGTCCAGAGTCCGCTGAATCGACTTACTATAATCGTAACTGGAGGTTTTGACCATCAATAACCAGCCGTTACGGCTTCACCAGCGAACGCCGAGCTCATGATCTACCAAAGTATAAGATATGCTCTGCTATAGGTATGATTTCAGAGGGGCCCCACGTTTTTATTTTAGTCTAATATGCCTAAAAGCTATTCTGCCTAGTACTAAAATATTTCTGAACTAGAAGGTCAAAATACCTACTTGTTATAGTGCGGGCTGCTTAGTTTACCTACCAAGCAAACCCTGGTGTTAGTGTTCTCTCATGAACTGCCTTTCGGCCGCTGACATGGTTCATGTTATGACAACCACTACCATCAGAGACATTAATGACCAAGATCACCTACGTAGGTTGATAGGTAAGTAACTATTTATTTATTTTGTAGTTTTCAGTGCACATAAAATAAAACCGTTTAACTTAAAAGTTTTTTTACCGATTTTTATTTTCTTGTTTTTAGTATTTAGTGAAATTGTTTACCGAATATTCCTCATTTTATTTAATTCATTCAGTGCATCATTATTACATGGTTTCTTACCTGATAATTTAGTACAATCTAATTCCTCAATACATAGCCCTTCCAGAGACTTGACTCGACTTAGAACCACGTATGCTTGTCCTTCCTCAAGTGTGTTCGAGTGTCTGAGTGTCTAGTGTCTGAGTGTCTGAGTATCGAGTGTCGAGTGTCGAGTGCCGAGTGTCAAGTGTCGAGTGTCGAGTGTCGAGTGTCGAGTGTCGAGTGTCGAGTGTCGAGTGTCGAGTGTCGAGTGTCGAGTGTCTAGTGTCAGAGTGTCTAACGTCTGGGTGTCTGAGTGTCAAGTATCTGAGAGTCTAGTGTCTGAGTGTCTTGTATCCGAGTGTCTAGTGTCTGAGTGTCTAGTGTCTGGGTGTCTGAGTGTCTAGTGTCTAAGTGTCGAGTGTCGAGTGTCGAGTGTGTCGAGTGTCGAGTGTCGAGTGTCGAGTGTCGAGTGTCGAGTATCGACTGTCAAGTGTCGAGTGTCGAGTTTCGAGTGTCTAGTGTCTGAGTGTCTTGTATCCGAGTGTCGGAGTGTCTAGTGTCTAGTGTTTAGCATCTGAGTGTCGAGTGTCGAGTGTCGAGTGTCTAGTGTCTGAGTGTCGAGTGTCTGAGTGTCTAGTGTCTAGTGTCTAGTGTTTAGTGTCTGAGTGTCAAGTGTCGAGTGTCGAGTGTCGAGTGTCGAGTGTCGAGTGTCGAGTGTCGAGTGTCGAGTGTCGAGTGACGTCGAGTGTCGAGTGTCTGAGTGTCTAGTGTCTGGTGTTTAGTGTCTGAGTGTCGAGTGTCGAGTATCAGTGTCTAGTATCTGGGTGTCTGAGTGTCAAGTGTCTGAGAGTCTAGTGTCTGAGTGTCTTGTATCCGAGTGTCTAGTGTCTGGGTGTCTGAGTGTCTAGTGTTTAGTATCTGAGTGTCGAGTGTCGAGTGTCTAGTGTCTGAGTGTCGAGTGTCTGAGTGTCTAGTGTCTAGTGTCTAGTGTTTAGTGTCTGAGTGTCGAGTGTCGAGTGTCGAGTGTCGAGTGTCGAGTGTCGAGTGTCGAGTGTCGAGTGTCGAGTGTCTAGTGTCGAGTGTCTAGTGTCTAGTGTCTGAGTGTCGAGTGTCTAGTGTCAGTGTCTAGTGTCTGGGTGTCTGAGTGTCAAGTGTCTGAGAGTCTAGTGTCTGAGTGTCTTGTATCCGAGTGTCTAGTGTCTGAGTGTCTAGTGTCTGGGTGTCTGAGTGTCTAGTGTCTAAGTGTCGAGTGTCGAGTGTCGAGTGTCTAGTGTCTGAGTGTCGAGTGTCGAGTGTCGAGTGTCGAGTGTCGAGTGTCGAGTGTCAAGTGTCGAGTGTCGAGTGTCGAGTATCGAGTGTCGAGTGTCTAGTGTCAGAGTGTCTAGTGTCTGGGTGTCTGAGTGTCAAGTGTCTGAGAGTCTAGTGTCTGAGTGTCTTGTATCCGAGGGTCTAGTGTCTGAGTGTCTAGTGTCTGGGTGTCTGAGTGTATAGTGTCTGGTGTTTAGTGTCTGAGTGTCGAGTGTCGAGTGTCGAGTGTCGAGTGTCGAGTGTCTAGTGTCTGAGTGTCTAGTGTCCGAGTGTCTAGTGTCTGAGTGTCTTGTATCCGAGTGTCTAGTGTCTGAGTGTCTAGTGTCTGGGTGTCTGAGTGTCTAGTGTCTAGTGTCTAGTGTCTAGTGTTTAGTGTCTGAGTGTCGAGTGTCGAGTGTCGAGTGTCGAGTGTTTAGTGTCGAGTGTCTAGTGTCTAGTGTCTGAGTGTCGAGTGTCTGAGTGTATAGTGTCTGGTGTTTAGTGTCTGAGTGTCGAGTGTCGAGTGTCTAGTGTCTGAGTGTTTAGTGTCTGAGTGTCGAGTGTCGAGTGTCGAGTGTCGAGTGTCGAGTGTCGAGTGTCGAGTGTCGAGTGTCGAGTGTTTAGTGTCGAGTGTCTAGTGTCTAGTGCCTGAGTGTCGAGTGTCTGAGTGTATAGTGTCTGGTGTTTAGTGTCTGAGTGTCGAGTGTCGAGTGTCTAGTGTCTGAGTGTCTTGTATCCGAGTGTCTAGTGTCTGAGTGTCTAGTGTCTGGGTGTCTGAGTGTCTAGTGTCTAGTGTTAAGTATCTGAGTGTCGAGTGTCGAGTGTCGAGTGTCGAGTGTCGAGTGTCGAGTGTCGAGTGTCGAGTGTCGAGTGTCGAGTGTCTAGTGTCGAGTGTCTAGTGTCTAGTGTCTGAGTGTCGAGTGTCTGAGTGTCTAGTGTCTGGTGTTTAGTGTCTGAGTGTCGAGTGTCGAGTGTCGAGTGTCTAGTGTCTGAGTGTCTAGTGTCCGAGTGTCTAGTGTCTGAGTGTCTTGTATCCGAGTGTCTAGTGTCTGTGTGTCTAGGGTCTGGGTGTCTGAGTGTCTAGTGTCTGAGGGTCTAGCGTCTGAGTGTCTAGTGTCCGAGTGTCTAGTGTCTGGGTGTCTCAGTGTAGTCCTATTATTTGATACCCATATTGTGGTGGTTGTGGAAAAATATGTACCTAGTCCGCCATATTGGAACGGCGTCCATCTTGAATTTAAAATTTTGACATAATCATCGTGTTTTACTAGTGTAGCCCTTTCATTTGATACCCATATTGCGGGGGTTAAGGAAAAATATGTAATCCGTCATTTTGTATCGGCGGCCATCTTAGATTTATAATGTTATTGATTTTATTATATTGTATTGTCATCTAAATTAAATGTGTGTACCAAATTTCAGATCAATCTGACAACGGGAAGGTGCTTAAATTCCAATTTCTAATTTTGACCCAAATAAATAAATACCGTACAGGTCGAGCTAAATAAAACCGTTTAAAAACCGCGCGAAGCAGGGTCGTACTATAAAAATAAAAGCGGCCAGTACGAACATGGAATATTCTGTCCACGTGGTCTTTAGCGGCGGTGTTGTGGACCGGAGGGGCAGCAGCTCTACCCAGCAACTCGTATATGGCCTGGACCACCGACAGCATCTCCGCGCGCGAGATTCTCCCATCCCCGTCCACGTCGTACAGCGCGAACACCCAGGACAATTTCTCCTGGACAGATCCTCGAGCCACTCGCGACAGGATCTCCAGGAACTCCTGGGAAAAATAAACTTTTTGAGTTTCCATCTGTCATTACAAGGTAACTTTGTTAGGTGGAGCACGTCAATAAAAGAAGAGCTCGAAACAATCACTGATTTATTATAATGAAGATTCATACAAGTTACCTTGAATATCTTATATGTATAACTACCTACATAGTTGTCAATAATAATCTGACATCTTCCTTTTTACAAAACAAAAAAAAAACTAACAAAAAATTATATTAAACAAAAACATGCATATATAAATTACTACAATTAAAATATAAATTAAATTTCTAAATGAATTAACATAATTGTTTTACTAATGTTATAATAAATATTTTTATCAATTATCCATAACAAAAATAGTAGTAAGTAGGTACTATTACTATGTAGGAGTAACTTAAGACTCGTTTTCATAACCCCACCTGTCCGGCGGTCTCACCACCCTTCCACAGCGAGTTCGACGAATGTCTGAAGAATATGTATCGCTACTTACATTATTAGTATTATCACAATACTGACAGTTATCATCATATTCAAAGTTGTAATCCTGTGGCGGGTCATGTCGTTGAGAGGAGTCCCTAATAATGTGTCGCCTATTCCTTACCACTTTATTGCCATTTGATAAAAGAATTTCATAAGATCTGTCTCTCAATATGCCTGTTACTATTCCAGATGTCCAGCGCTTTGGAAATTTATTGTAAACTTTTACTTTTTGTCCTATTGATAACGATTCTAAATGTTTTTTATTTCTATCATAATAATACTTATGTAATGCCTGTCTTTCTACTAATTTATTTCTAACATTTGTGTGTACTTTGGATTTTAATAATTTATTCGATGTCGGAATTATGCTTTTTAATTTTCTACTTTGTAATAACTCTGCTGGAGAAGGCAAGCTGTCTGTCAATGGAGTATTTAAGTATTCTAATATCGCTAAACGATAATCAATTTGGTCCTCATTCGTTTTTATCATGATGTTTTTTATAGTCTGTACCATGCGTTCGACTTGTCCATTCGATTGAGGATAATACGGGGATGATGTTGTGTGTATAAATCCCCAATCAAGAGCAAATTGTCTAAATAAACTAGATGAGAATTGTGGACCACAATCTGACATAACTATATTTGGAATTCCTTGACGATAAAATATATTTTTTAATGCATTAATTACACTCTCAGACATGGTTGAATGTAATTTAACGACTTCACAAAATTTACTAAAGTAATCCACTAACAATAAATAATCCTCACCTTTCAATTGAAACAAATCTACTCCTACTTTTTCCCATGCTCGATCGGGTATACTGTGAGGTATTAGTTCCTGTTTTTGATTACTTTTCCTATGAGACAGACATGTGTTACAGTTTGTTATTAGATTATGCAAATCATTATTCATTCCCGGCCAGAATACTATTTCCCTAGCTCTTAATTTACACTTTTCTAAACCCAAATGACCTATATGTATTTTATTTAAAATTTCCTTTCTGTATTCCTTCGGTACCACTATCCTGTCATTTTTGAATACCAACCCAAGTGTATATGACAAGTCATTTCTATAATTCCAGTAGGGTTTTATTATCTCAGGTACATCCGAATTATCATTTGGCCAGCCTTGCATGATATATTTCTTTAATTGAACTAATTCACTATCCGACTGAGTGCGTTTTTGAATCGCAGTCAATTGTAAATCGGGTATATATTCAGAAACCGCTAGGACTTTATCGCATAAAACCATACATATCTCATCATTGAAGTTGTCACAGTCACTCAGCGATGACTCATCTATCCTATTGTCTTCGTACGCACGCGACAGCGCGTCTGCGACATAAAGATGTTTACCGGGTTTGTAAACTAGTCTAAACGTAAAACGCTGCAATCTCAATAACATTCTTTGTAATCGCGCTGGAGAATCTACGATTGGTTTTTTAATGATACTTATTAGCGGTTTGTGATCAGTCTCAATAGTAACGTCTGATCGTCCATATATATATTCATAGAACCTTTCACATGCAAACACACACGCATACAATTCTTTTTCTATCTGAGCATATCTTTGTTCAGTTGTAGTGAGCGCTTTAGACGCGTAACATACGGGCAACTCTTTCTGCATAAGACAAGCACCTAACCCGCTGCTACTCGCATCCACCGATATGACTATTGGTTCTTTGATGCTATAATATTGAAGAACAGGTGGGCATGATAAAACGTTTTTTAATTCTAAAAAACAACGCTCCTGATTCTCATCCCAGTGCCAATCCACGTTTTTTTTTAGAATATCTCTCAAAAATATGGTTTTGTCTGACAAATGTGGTACAAATTTTCCTACATAAGTCACTAGTCCCAAAAAACGTTCTATATCTTTTTTATTTTTCGGAATTGGCATGTTTTGTATTGCGGAAATGTGAGAATCATCTGCACATAATCCATTTTTTGTGATCCGATGACCAAGATATTTTAGTTCTTGTAACCCAAATTTACATTTTTGCATATTCAACTTCAAATTAATCTTTCTACACCTATTTAAAACTTTTCTTAATACTTTATCATGTTCTTTTTTCGTTTTAGCATAAATTAACAAATCGTCGATGTACATACATACACCTTCTATATCATCAAAGTTTTCATACATCTTTCTATGAAATACCTCCGAGGCCGAGCATATTCCGAACGGCATTCTTAGAAATTTATATCGACCAAACGGCGTATTAAAAGTACAATATTTATTTGTTTCATCTAATTCTACCTGCCAAAATCCCATTGAGGCATCCAAAGTACTAAAATAGCAGGCACCTGATAATTGAGATAATATCTCATCTATAGTGGGTAGTCTAAAATATTCTCTTTTAATACATTCATTTAACTCTTTTGGATCTAAACAAATACGCAAGTCACCATTTCCTTTTCTAACTATCGTGATACTATTTACCCAATCAGTTGGTCCCTCAACCTTCGCTATAATACCCTGAGACTCCATTTCTAACAATTTCTTTCTTACGTCATCTTTTATAGCAAACGGCAATTTACGTGGCGCATGAACTACTGGAATAGAATTTTCTTTTAATCTTATTGTATATTTCCCAGGAAGACAGCCTATTCCACTAAATACATCCTCATATTCTCTTACTATATCAAGGTTTACCTGTTTGGACTCCTCCACCGACATGACCCGACGAATCAGATTCAACTGCTGACAGGCATGACGACTTAACACGGGTTGGTTTGGAACATCTACAATAATAAATTCCATTAAATACATCTTATTTTTATAATCCACTTTTAAATATATTTTTCCATGAACTATTAATTTTTCACCTCTATATCCACTTAATTGGGAATCACAAGTTAATAAATCACTTTTTCTGATGCCTAATTTCGATATATATTTCAAAGGAATAATGCTTACATCAGCTCCAGAATCTAATTTAAATTTAATATTATTATTATTTATATTTAATGATACTATCCAATCATTATTATTGCAAAATATGCAATTAATTACCTGTTCTTCCGATTCTTGTACACTATATATTTTACACATTCGCGCAAAGTGATTCATCTTTGAACATCGTAGACACTTCTTGCCAAACGCCGGGCAAGCTTTATATCCATGTAGGGAACCACATCTGCTACAATGTGGTGTCTCGGGTACGATGCGTCGCGCCGAGGCTTCCCTTGTCATGCCGATAGCACGTCGACATTGCGCGGGTCGCGCACGCCCTCCTTGATAGCAATTACATGAAGCGGTGTCATCGGAACGGCCATTCGCCGACGAAGCCGACGCCCTGGTTTCACCTGCGCCCCAGGAACTGCTTGCTCGGTTAATAGATAACCGCTTGCTGTTCTTGATTGTCCATATATCCTGTTGTTCCTTATTCCCTTCATCAGTATATCGGACTTCATCCACTCGACTAGCCTCTCGCTTAATGTTTTCCGCGTAGACCTTCGACACAACCGCCGCATGACATATGTCCATGGCTTTATTTAAATTTAAATCTTCTTCTCGCAGTAAACGTTCTCTGATTGCCGCGCTCAATACGCCACATACTAGACGGTCCTTGATAAGATCTTCATATAGTATTCCAAACTCACAATTCTGTGCTAATTTTCGCAATTCATATATATATTGCTCAATAGTCTCGTTTTCCTGTTGATTTCTGATGAAAATCTATGTCGCTCAACCGTTACATTCTTTTTTCGTTTAAATTTTTTATCTAAAATTTTCAAAATACCTTCTAACGTATTTTCAGCTGATGCCAATTCGCCTAAAATTTCACGACACTGATCCCCAATTATGTGTAATAATATATTAGTTTGAACTATGGGGGCTTTCTTGTTCAGTTCACATGCGTTAAAATATATCAAAAATCCTTTCTTCCATTGTTCCCACTTTTCACTCAATCTTCCTGATGTTATGTCCATCGCGTTTTCATCGAAGTGAAACGGTGACGGTGGCGATAATACAGTCTCCATTTTGATTTTATGCACTTTTAATTATTTGTAAGTTTACTCGTTTACTCATATGTTTTTTTTTTTTTAAACTTATATAAATCCTACCGACTGCGCCATGTCAACTTTGATAGGTGGAGCACGTCAATAAAAGAAGAGCTCGAAACAATCACTGATTTATTATAATGAAGATTCATACAAGTTACCTTGAATATCTTATATGTATAACTACCTACATAGTTGTCAATAATAATCTGACAGGGAGGTATAGTTTTTAAGCAACCTATAACAGCAAACAAGCTGACGGCCCACCTGATGGAAAGTGGTAACCGTCGCCTATAGACATGAGCAGCACCTTGGACATAACAGAGTATACTGTTTCGCCCATGATACCCCCCATGCGTTGCCATTCCTGAGGACTCAGGTGTTATTCCTCTGTACCCTGTAAAATCACTACCATATTCCACCCTTCAACTGAAACACAGCCATGCGAAACTGCTTAATGCTAGCAACACGAATGGGACAGAGGTACCCAAGCAAACGACTCTTGTTTTGAAGTTCGATGCTCCATCTATATGATCTAAGTTTGCACCGTATATACAATACGCTTTACATTACAAATCCTATAGATACATTCCCCTTTCGTGTTCTCAAGGTTTTTTTTTTTGCTGGGAGAAAATGGTATGGTAACCCCGCCTGCGCTAACGGGATACGCTGGCGGAGCACCAGTGAAGGGTGATAGATGAGAATGAAAACAGGCCAGTTAGCCCATCATGATGAATTCATCAGGAATTAACCATGATAGTTTCCAGGGGGAACCGGATTTTACGACCCGGTTCGGTATATTGCTGGCAATGGGATTCTCAGTCTCCATTACTAACAATACCTTTCCTCCCTGTTCTCAAGGTTGACTGGAAGAAATCCCTTCATGGGATAAATCCGTCTGTGTAAATTTTTATTATAATAAATAACAATATAAATTAATAAATTAAATTCAATTGAATCGATTGACTCTATTTAATTAATTAAACTACCGATAATTTATTAATTAAATAAATAAACAACATAAATTAATATTAATTAATTCGCTTATTTTATAGCTAAATTAATACGCTATATATATATATATATATATATATATATATATATATATATATATATATATATATAGTATAAAATCTGTTCGTATTCATATCCGTACTGTACACGATCCACAGTTAAACGACTTCCAAGACTACACTCCAGTTCTTAAACCGCGGGAAGTTGGCGCGTAAAAACAGGATTCAATTATGAATCTCCCCTTTAATAGCATTGTAACAATAATTCCTTTGCTTATCTTATTATAATAAAAACATAAAACTGGCAGTCTGTACATTGTGTATTGAAATTTTATTTACATTTTGTTCTTAAAAAAAAAAACAGCGACATACTTAATATTGATGAGTAACCACACCGAATTACTTAGTGGGTTTTATTAAAAAAAAAAATATTTATAATCAATATTTTATTTAAATTAGGAATTATTATTCTTATTTTAAAACGAATAGAACGCACTGAGATCTTTTACATTTTACAATTTACAAGTAGATTTGAAATATTTGGATTTGGAACGTCAAATTTTGTGTCAACAAATATCTAGTTACGGTTTTTTTTTTTTACGAAATAAAATGCACCGAACGTCGAAGCTGCATTCTAAATTCAAATATTTTCAATGTAATATCGTCACCTCTATGGCAAATTTATGAATCTGCACTTTTTCCAAATTTGACATTTCTTTAAAAACCTACATTTTACGCCATACTACTTACTGTGGCTTATTCTCAAATTTCTATCTCTAACGGTTAAAGAAATCGAGTAGCTCGAATCACCATATTTTTGTGATATACCCAAAGTAAACTTACTTAGCATATTTTTATAGTATTTTCTATAATAAACACTTTAATTTGAAAATTTCAATGATTATTTTATCAATTTTTCAATCCTAATTTAGTTATTTTACATGAATGATTGCTATAACGTTGTTATTTAAACTGAAGTTCTCTCCAAAACACGTGATTTATACCTTGGTATATTTACGAAAGTGGCACTTTCGTTAGTTTGCCAGAAAATAAAATAAATAATTTTCTTTGGCAACTTACGAAACTGCCACTTACGTAGATTTGCTATTGTATAACTCAATACCTAGGAACTCTCATGTATGAAGGTGCAAAGTAACGAATTTGCATTTATTTCTGATACTTGTAATATAGTTATAATTAATTAAGCGCATTCAATAAAAAACAGGATTTTAAAACTAAAATGTTAGCATGATCTTTTACAGTAGTCTTCTGTCACAAGTTATTTGCATTCTAATGTTTCAAAACGTTCCCCTGTAAAATGTAACTTTTTCAGTTTCGATAGTTTACCATAGAGGTGACGATATGTTTACGATATAAAATTGAACGTGTCGATTCGTTTTAATCATTTTAAAATAAGAACACTGATTTCACTGATAAGAAAATTGATTATCAATCAATATTAAGTTTCAAATGACATCAAAAAGAAAGAATTAATTTAATTCAATTCAATTCGGTTGTATTTTGTATTTTTTGTGTTCGTTACCTCATAACTCCGTTAATTGTAAACATACATACATATCTGTCACGCCTGTCTCCCATTAGGGTAGGCAGAAACAATGGAACGCCAAATGCTTCGATTCAAACAAACCTCTTTCGCTTCTTCCACATTCATCAATCTTTTCATACACGCTCGCCGGTTACGGGTACTTTTAATTTGGCCCATCTTCAGCACGTCGTCAATTGTAAACCGATTTGCAAATTTTTTTTATCTAAAAGAATATACATACAAATCGGTCCTATAGATATTATGTAAACGAACAAAAATTTTACATACACATTTTCAATACACTAGCCTGCTATGAATTGAGAGAAATAGCAACTGACGGTGTATCTTTCGTCCTCTTTTTACTAATTATATTTGCATAAGAAGAAAGAAGGCAACCATATGATTTACAGTTTTTATTTTATCATTCCTTCTATGTAATTCCTTGTTCTTAGGTTACAAGTAATTAGATAAAAAAAAATCCAGACCAAGTCGATTTTTAAAATTTGAATTAAGAACTATTTCTTCTGATATTATATAAATATAATTTTCTCAAACATGCTTGGAAATGTGAGCATTATTTTGACAATCTTCTTAGAGATAAATCAAAATTGCCGTACTGGCCAAGATACATGCGGGCAGCCGCCGGCAAAAGTTGTATGAAAATCCATATCTGTCGTGTTTTGCGGCCAGATAAATTACTATGTAAGCTCATATCTGTCCTGTAATTTAAAAATGGAATGACCTTTAACTTCGAAACATGGCTACCGAGGAGGTAACTAATACAAGGTTTTATTTAAATTTCGAACTGGCTTGCAAATAGAAAGCTGTTTATTGAAAAAAAAAACAAGGGAACATTATGGTGCGTGAAAAATTATTATTGTTCGTTATTCGTCATTGAATTTAAAAAGTAAAATTGTGTTTTTGATTTCCGCGCATTGTTTGAGAAAAGTACTATACAAGCCTCGGCCATAACTAGGCATTGATGGACTCACGTATGTGTGCCTCGGCTACGCCTCGGCCCACATTTGCACGTTCGTCCATCAATGCCTCAGTTGCTGGCCGCTGCAGTAATGTACTATTATTATTATTGTCTCGTCGCGGACACAATGGAATTTATTTTAGAATAAACTCTGATAATACTTGATAAGTGCGTTTAATTTAACATAAATATTAACAGTAATGTTCTAGCCGGCGTCACAACTGTCCAAGTGAAAATAAGATGGCACAGTACTAGAAACAGGGGGGAAAGGGATTGTTACTAATGTAGACTAAAAATCGCATTGCTAGCAATACACCCAACCAGGTCGACCTCCACGCGGTTCCCCCTGGAAACTATCATGGTTAATTCCTGATGAATTCATCATGATAGGCTAACTGGCCTGTTTTCATTCTCATCTATCACCCTTCACTGGTGCTCCGCCAACGTATCCCGTTAGCGCAGGCGGGGTTACCATACCATTGTCACCCATCAAAAAAAAAAATTACAAGAAACACAACGGTGGACGGTAGAACAATAATGAAAAAAGAAACGCCTGCTCGAACAGGCCGAGCGCGTAAATTGCAAAATTGTTATTAAAAATTATAATATTGTATAAATTATATATATATATATATATATATATATATATATATATATATATATATATATATATATATATATATATATATATATATATATTAACTGAAACGCCGGCTGTTTTCAATAATTTTAAAACGAAAACATACTATCTATGGAATTAAAGTAATCACTCAAGATAAGCATCAGTATGAATCACTATTTGGTCTGAGTCAGTGGTAGCTCGACATGCGAGTTTAATTCGTACCGTAACCTTGCTTGTACGAGTATGTCAAAACAATTTCCCCCATTGAAATGCCATTAATCCGTTCTAGCTCCCAAACAACCACGTCAGTTGTTTTTGTTAAGTGTTAGCCTGAGGTGGGAGCAACTGTCAGACACCACCATCCACTCCGCATGTGAGGCGCGTGTGCAGCGGTGTAGCGTGCGATTCCTCGCATCTCAAACCTTGCTCTCATCTCGAAGCAAAATATCGCTCGCTCGGCGGCTCGTGTCTCAATACACTTGTATATTAGGCCACACGTATATCGAGGTAGCACTGTATATATTTTTATAGCATTAGTAATTAATATTTTCTTTGGGGGAAGTGAAAAATTATACGATACCCAACGATATACAACTTAGAATGACAAACAAGCTGACGGCCCACCTGATGGACAATGTAACCGTCGCCTATAGACATGAGCAGTACCGTGGACATAACAGAGTATACTGTTTCGCCCATGATACCCCCTATGCGTTGCCATTCCTAAGGACTAAGATGCTCTTTCTCTGTACCCTGTAAATTCACGCCATATCCCACCCTTTAAACCGAAACACAGCCATGCAAACACAACTGCTTCATGGTTGAAACACGAATGGGACAGAGGTACCCAAGCTAACATGTTTTGTACAAAGTCTCCCTCTGGTAAACATCTATATACTTACCCATATTTCTTGTAAATAAATATTCATTCGTTCATTAGTTAGGAACTAGATGGCGCTGCGTGATACGTACACTTTTTTTTATTTTACGCGGCAAAATGTGTTCAAAGACAACGTATGTATGGTACGTGACTCACCTCAAAATTAATTTTCCCGTGCTGCTTGTGTTTGATTGTGTTGAACACGAGGTGTGCGTACTGGGAGGCGTCTGGAAACATCGTACATACACTTTCATACATATTAACTTACATAGGATCATTGTCCAGATGGCCTGAACCATTTTAGAAAGAAAGAAACCTGATTTTACAGAAATATGCGACTACACCCACACAGGGGACAAAAAACAATATTAAGAATTATAACAACGAAACTACACGCAAAATATTTATCTATTACTCATAATAAATCTGTAGAGAGGTCAATTCTGTACATGAAATATATTTCCAAAATAACTATCAGCGGGTGATTAGTGATCGATACTGATGCCAAAAATGCAATCAGTAAATTTTTTGTCTGTCTCTCTGTATGTTCGTTATAGAAACAAAAACTACTCGACGGATTTTAACGAAACTTGGTACAATTATTCTTCATACTCGTGGGCAGGTTATAGTATACTTTTCATCACGCTATGATCAATAGGAGCAGAGCAGTGAAGGGAAATGCTGGGAAAACGGGAGAAGTTACTCCATTTTTAAGCTTCCGCCGCGTGTGCAACCTTAATGGCCACTTTTTAAAATGTAAAAATGTCCACCCGTGCGACGTCGAAACGGGCCGCTAGTATATAAATAAAGAATATAAAATAAAAAGAACAATTCATATTATAACAGTTTTATCCAAAATGTGCGTGTGCGTGCGTCGTAAAACCTGCAAAATGAGGTGCGTGCTCAGCATTATGCTGTAGTGTCAGGGACACTGCAGCGCTGATTTTCAGCACGAGCCTCGCCAACCCATTTGTACTCTCCGATATGTCTCTGTGAAGATTCGTCTAATTCTGGGATGTTCCTCTAATTCGGGGATTCTCATTCCCCGGGGGGAAGGGGAGGGGGCGATTTTTAGTAATGCGGACTATCAGTCCCATTGCTAGCAATATACCCAGTCAGGTTGACCTCCACGTGGTCCCCGCTGGAAACCATCGTGCCGAATCTCAGGTGTATTCACGATGGGCTAACTGACCTGCCTTTCCATTCTCACCTATCATCCCTCACTGGTGCCCCACCAGTGTATACCGATAGCGCAGGCGGGGTTACCATTTCATTATCATGCATTAAAAAAAGACCCATTTAATTATACTGTTTTCCAACGAAAAGAAAGTATTTTTTTTTTTACAACACGAGGGGAACGAGCATGCGGCTCACCTGATGGTAAGTGACTACCGCCGCCCATGATCATCCAAAACACCAGCGGCATTGCAGGTGTGCTGCCGGCCTTTTAAAAAGGAATATGCTCTTTTCTTGAAGGTTATGATGTCGTATCGTCCAAAAATGAACTTGAGTTTTAAAAACATCAACGTTATGTTTAAGCTTATAAACAAACTATAACACAAACCTCCCAGGGGGAAAAATTGCGAGAATATGTGCTTGAAGGCCTCCTCGTCCACCACGCCCGACGGGCACTCCTGCAACATGACACAACCACTCCGCTGTACGCATATCTCTCTTAACTCTGTGTGTATATATATATATATATATATATATATATATATATATATATATATATATATATATATATATATATATATATATATATATATATATAATGAGTAAGGATAATATTTATATTATTACATGTATCACATCTCCCATATTTAGAACTAACAGAATATTTCATCGTGCCTCCTATCAAACTGTTTATAATTACTCCTCTCCATTCAAAGGTTGCCTGCAAGAGATCGCTCTTAGCGATAAGGCCGCCTTTTGTATCACTTCTCATTACAGTTAAATGTATTTACCATTATGTATTTATTTTATAAATGGTGCAATAAAGTGTAAAATAAAATAAATATTATTATATATATATGTTACTGTTAAAGCACTTACATTTGTAAATCTTAATGCAATATTAAATTGGTTTACATGTAATAACCTATTATTAAATTCCAGCAAAACAAAGTGTATAAAATTTACACTTCCTAATGTAAGACTAATAAATACACAGTTATTGCTTAATGACGAAATAGTAAATTTTGTTAATGATACAGTTTTTTTAGGTATAACAGTGGACTCGAAATTACAATGGGGGCCCCATATTTCAAAATTGGCCAGTAGACTCAGTTCTGCTGCATATGCAATTAGAAGAATTAGGCAATTAACAGACGTGGCGACGGCTAAACTTGTATATTTTAGTTATTTCCATAGCATAATGTCTTATGGCATACTGCTGTGGGGTAAAGCAGCCGATATAAATACTATATTTGTTTTACAAAAGAGAGCCATACGTTCTATTTATGGTATGGGTTCAAGAGAGTCATTACGTCAGTGCTTTAAAGACTCAAATATCCTCACAGTTACTTCACAATACATTTATGAAAATATTATGTATACACGGAAGAACTTAGCGAGTTTTAAAAAACTCAAAGACTGTACAAGTAGAAACTTACGCAATATAAATAAGCTTATTTTACCTAAATGCCGTCTGCACAAAATCAGTAATTCATTCTATGGTAATTGCATAAGATTTTATAATAAACTGCCGGAATCTGCATTAAATCTGACAGAGAGGCAATTCAAATCTTATATTAAACAATTTTTATGTAAGAAAGCCTATTACAGGATAGACGAATTCATAGATGACAACATATCAAGTAAATAATTAGTTTATTAGCATACAACGTTATAATTTTTTTTTCTCATTGCTTTCTTGATTTAATTGATTAATTTTAGAAATATGAAAGCGTAGCGGTTTTTTGTATTAATTGCCGCATGCATTCTTATGTAAAATGTGAATACTATTACTATCAGATGGCAATTGTGAGTAGCTTTGACGTGGTCTAGTGTTTTGAGTAGTCATGCTCACTAAAATGTCCAGACTTGTGGCGGCGTGGTGGGCCGGGTCATTGGGCTCCCTAAAATATGGTCGAGCGCAGTGATGGCTGGCTCATCCGTCATACTCGTGAACGGGTGCTGCTTGTAGGGACTGGTCTGCTCTAATCACTATGACTGATTTCCTCTTATTAATTGTTTAACCAGTTGGTTATGTATTCAATTTTTTTTTTCTTTTTGAGTATTTAATTGAATTAGTGCTAATTGGTGGTTTGTATTCACACAATTAAACTTAAAAATGTAAAATAATAATAAAATTATTTAAAAGAGCATCACGCAAGTTTCTTGCTCGTTCTTCTTGTGATGAGACAGCTTTCCGAACGAGCGGTAAATTAAAAAAAATGTAATGACTTTTCAAAAGTGCTTCAATGTAAGTTTATTTGAATAAATGATTTCTATTCTATTCTATTCTTAAGTTTTACCAGTAAATGTTAGCATTTACCAATGTGAGTTGGTAAATGTGGGGATTTTATAAAAACAGGATCATTTTTGTATCTTCCACCAAACCAAATCTAACCGAATCTACCTTTCTGACCATGAGCACGAACATCACTCACTGAACATGCCTAAATTTATGTCTAGCACTGTAAAGAAAAGAAGGTAAAGGACCACTAGGTGTCATGTCATATAGGGAGGTCAAAGATATGGCCTGGGATAGAGCTGGCTGGAAGAGAATGTATGAATTAGTAGCCTTGACGTGAGGAAACTGTTGAGTCTGAATCACCAACGCGTACCTGTTTGAAGCCCCTGTACATGAGCTTGATCTCGTGCTTGGTGAAGCGCGTGGACTGCGCCAACGCGCCCAGCGGCTCGGGCCGGTGCCGCACGGCGCCGCCGCCGCACACCGACTCCTCGCACTCGTCCTCTGCCACCAACGGACTCATATTAACAGACATTAATAACAATAAGAACTTAATAGTCTTAATACAATTAATTTACCACAAAATACGTACATCATAACCTTTTTTTATACAACTTAAAATGGCAGTCAAGCTGACGGCCCACCTGATGGAAAGTGGTAACCGTCGCCTATAGGCATGAGCAGTACCATAGACATAACAGAGTATACTGTTTCGCACATGATCCCCCCCCCCCCATGCGTTGCCATTCCTGAGGACTCAGGTGTTATTCCTCTGTACCCTGTAAATTCACTGCCATATCCCGCCCTTCAAACCGATACACAGCCATGCAAACACAACTGCTTCACGGTAGAAACACGAATGGGACAGAGGTGCTCAAACAAACGACTTTTGTACAGTCTCCCTCTGGTGATAAATGCCGAATCAGAACAACACATATACCCAATTTTAACTTAGACCTTCAGGTGTACTGTGAGAACTGCATCCACTTTGGCGCAGTACTTTTTGCATAATGCCAAAACTGGCATACGACTGAAGTCGACTTTTTGTAGTACACAGTTTTACTTCTAGTTTGCACAGCGCTCCGCGGCGGGTGCCTAAAAGCCTAATGTAATAGAAGCCTATGGACACATAATAACCCACTCGCCGCTCCACTTCCATTGTTGTCTAAGGAGCGCCGCAGACTTGCTACTGATCGCATTAATATTTCAATTGATCAATCATTTATTTGCATAAACATATGTACAATTATAGGCCAGAATAGTCCACTCCTTTCTTTCCCGTGGGTGTCGTAAGAGTCGACTGAGGGAGGGTAAAGGATAGACAGCAGCGTCTCTCTTAAAACATCTCTAGAGCCTAACTGCTGTTGCCAACTCGCCTGCTAAGCGTGGCAACTACTAGCAAACCCCCCCCCCCTCCTTCCTGATGATTTGAAAAATTCTTGTTTTATCTAAAAGCATATACTTATAGATTCGTTTCATAGAAATTTTAGAAAATTTAGTTTTTAAATAAAAATAACCTATTTTGCCATAATTGATGTTGGATTCTTTAAACGCAATTTAATTCACGCTACCTGTGAATGGTCTGAGGTTATAGGACGAAAGGAACACGTCTCGGGAAAGTCCTTTCGACATTGTTGCGGTAAAATTCACGTAAGAGTTGGCTAACTTATTTGTACGCAGTTTTTCTTTCTTAATTATTTAATTAAATTTTTTAATGCAATAATTACCAGTTTAACGTACGTGCAATTAGATCGTGAAAGCTCGACTAGTTTCGGGATCATTTCGTGACCCTTAATCATGAGCGGCTGTGATGTAAGCGCTCGCGGCGCCGTCACAGTTATATTTATTTGTTTATCATTAAACCTTTTTTTATGAAAGATTTCAAGTGGTTTTTCTTTTTTTACTAATATCAATAATCAAATGTTGTTTGTTTAGTTGCTTTGTATGAACTTTATTGTACACTATCTTTTACATGCGACTTCGCCCGTGAGGCGGGAATATGTTTACTGAGCGAGATAAAAAAATAGCCTATATCTTTCATCCCGTATAACAAACAAATAAACTTTCACATTTACAATATTAATAAAGATTCACAATTGACACAAATATCAAATTATAAACAAATCAAATCAAATCAAATCAAATCATTTATTGCACGAATATGGGTACATACATTAGTTGAAAAAAAATAATTACATGTCCATTATTCCATATTCTACCATATCGGCATGTACAATATAAAATTATAGTAATAATAACTTATAACAATAAAAATAAAATGTAAAAAATGTCAATAAAATTAATTAAATTGCACGTCTAATATTTATCACTGTAATAGTCATGCAACGTATAGTAACACTTGGCTGTCAAAATGACAAAGTGCACTGGCTTCTAGTACGGGACAGTTGGTAATGCATTATTTTTTTATTTTAGAAATAGATTGATGATGTATATAATAATGATTTACAGAAAGCACCCAGACCCATGCAAACAAACCCATGAACACTATATTAGTATTGCATGGATTCGAATTCGGAGACTACTTAGCCCTATTGCTAGCAATATAACCAACCAGGTCTACATCCCCTGGAAACCATCGTGCTGAATTCCAATTCATCACGGTGGGCTAACTGACCTGCTTTTTTTCGTTCTCATCTATCATCCCTCACTGGTGCCTAGGGGGGAAAGGGATTGTTAGTAATGATGTATAATAGCCCTATTGCTAGCAATATACCCTCTCAGGTCGACCTCCACGCGGTTCCTCCTAGAAACCATCATGGTAAATTTTTGTCAAATTACCTACCTCACCTATCATTCCTCACTGGTGCCCCGCCAGCGTATACCGTTAGCGCAGACGGGGTTACCATTCCATTATCATCCGTTAAAAAAAAACCATAGGAGCGCCGTGGTCGTCATAACGAAACAGTCGCGCGTGAGTCGCACGTGCGCGGCGGCCCTAACCAGCGCACCAGTGTCCGTAACCCCAGCCCAACTCATTAATCAAAGTCGACATTTATTCCACGAACATCGGGAAAAATTCGTTTCAGAATAAGGCCGGCCCAACACTGTCGACAATCGATCATTGTTCGAATCCGGTAATGGGTTTTGTATCGATCATTTCCCATAATATGTTTGTCTGTTTTGAAGGTTAATCGCCGCGCCGAAGTCCGGTTGAATGAGGATGTCAACATTAATATGTTCACGGCTACAATCCGCAATGGGTTGGCCAGAAGCATGTTCTATTGGACCTCGTTTACGTAAAGTGCCGTGTAGTCCCGGCATAGAATGGGCCGTCCCTTCCTTTCCTCTGGTTCGTAAGAGGCGACTAAAAGAACAAAATGGGCGATAAATGGACAGCAACGTCCCTCTTAAAACGTCACCAAAGCCTAACTGTGGTTACCAATTCGCCTGCTTGAGAACTACAACAAAATACTCATACCTCATGTCCTACAGCCTCAATGGTCGCGTACAGCGCAGTTTCGGAGACGTTTCCTCCCACGAACACTCAGGTTATGGAATGAGCTCCCTGCCGAGGTTTTCCCGAGAGACTACAGCATGGGGTTCTTCAAAAGGGGGGTAAAGAGTTTTCTTCAGGGTCAAGAGAGAGGTTGCTTAAGGGTCGGCAACGCGCGCGTAATACCTCTGGTTAATTAGTTGCAGGCGTTCACAGGCTACGGTAACCGCTTACCATCAAGTGGGCTGTATGCTTGTTTGCCACTTCAGAGGTATAAAAAAAACCCAATAAGGTGAGGCCTATGTACAGCAGAGGACAGTTAATGAGTGATATGGTGATGATAAGGAAAGTACCCAGCACTATGTTAAGAAAGTCATTTTTAGCCGACTTAAAAAAAAGAGGTGCTCAATTTGGTTGTATTGTCTTTACGTTTGTCACCTCATAACTCCGTCAGTTGTAAACCGATTTGGAAAATTCTTTTTTTATCTGAAAGGACATACTTACAGATTTTTTTTAATGGATGATAATGGAATGGTAACCCCGTTCATACTATCGATGTATACACAGACGGGGCACCAGTAAGGTATGATGGGTGACAATGAATGCAGATCAGTTGGCCCACCATGATGAATTTGACAAAAATTAACCATGATGGTTTCCAGGGGGAACCGCGTGGAGGTCGACCTGAGAGGGTATGTTGGTAACAATGGAGCTATTACATCTCATTACCAACAATCCCTTTCCCTCTATACTTATAGATTAAGTCCCGTAGAAATGTTATCAAAATCGATTCAATCGTTTAATTTTGAAATAAAAATAACTTTTTTAAGGTTTTGATAGATAGATAGATAGATAGATAGATAATTTACTTGCATTACTTACAGCACACAAATTACAATACAAACATACACATAATACATAGTAAAAGAGATAAAAGAATGAAAAACAAAAAAAAAAAGCAACAAAATATATCTAATATATAAAATTCTCGTGTCGCGGTGTTTGTTACCAAACTCCTCCGAAACGACTTTACCGATTTTTATGAATTTTTTGTGCATATCGGGTAAGTATGAGAATCAGCCAACATCTATTTTTCATACCACTCAATCATAAGGGTGACCCACCTCTAAATATTTTATTATTATTTTGCATTGAAAAATACATACAAATTCAAATTTTCACGCTTTTACGATCAACCCCTGTTTTTTAATCGCGATTTTTATATTCCGCAATAGGGTTGCAAGATGGCAATCGAATATAATAATTGTAGTACGATATATTTTCATATATAATTCTCGAAATAATGTATATGGTAAAACAACGTTTACCGAGTCAGCTAGTATATATATATATATATATATATATATATATATATATATATATATATATATATATATATATATATATTAACAATTTCCTTTCTTTTTCATGCGTGTGGCACAGTAACACAAAATGGTCACAACTCAGTTCATTGCTTTGCCCTCAAAAGAGCAAAACACTGCTGTGTGTTTTACCACATCTGTAGTCGTTGTCGTTGTCTATGGAACACAATCCTAAGAAACTTTATCAGATGAATACAGACGATTTAACTTTTTTAAACAACAAAAAGTATTCCACGTCAGCCGTAAAGAAAGAAGCGCTGTAATCGGCCCGTATTTTATATTTCTTAGCGTGTCACGTGAACCAGAGGCGCCATTCAGTTATCTCAAAGGGAGATGTGAGCACGCCGCCGGCCTGACACGCTTTGTACAAGGCTGCCCCTTCACAGACGGACGCGCTCTTTAAGCCGCTGAATTTTTTATACACTCGCTTGAATGCATTCATTTATAGCTTTTATTTGCGACAAAGACCAGGTTTTGTTAGTACATTTTACCATGAAAAGTGTTCGAAATGTGAAAGTGAGTTTTTTTTTATGCAACTTAGAATGGCAAACAAGCTGACGGCCTGGGATGGAAAGTGATAACCGTCGCCTATAGACATGAGCAGTAACATGCACATCACAGAGTGTACTGTTTCGCCCATGATACCCCTCACGCGTTGCCATTCCTGA